ATCAAAGTTACAGGCTGGATTTGGCAAGTGACCTGAGCAATTATCCCAGCTGGAGATATGTTAGTCAGAGGAGGACAGTACACTCTGATCTGAACTTCCCCTCATGATGAAGGGTCTAGGTACAGCTCAGATGATAGATATTACATCTTGTAAATCTCCAAACCAACACTATTTATTGTATTTTTCCTCCCAAGGCTTGCCATCTGTGCACTCTTCTCGCTTTCCCAGCTCATAACTCACATCAAAGTGAGCAACTTGGTATTCTAGGCTTCCTTAGGGCTGCAACTAACAACTATTTTCCCAAGAAGCGCTTAAAATGTTTTTTATTTCCAAAAACCTAGAGACAGACCTAAATGAACAGTTAAGAAAGTTCGACCCAGTGACCCTTCTGGCATTTTTGTGCTTTAAAAAGTGTCCTGAACGATTAAAGACAAATAATTGCAAATGAGTATTCTCTTTGTCCACTAATCTCTTTCAGTTTTACTCGCAGCACCCTCACATTTGTAGCCCTCTCTTTCGGGCGTTTACATGTGTGATGCATGCATTGCTGGCACGAATACATTCAGTAAGTGAAGTAAGCATGGAGTTAAAGTTTAGCAGCCTTAATTGGTTGGGTCTGGAAACCTTCAATGTTCCAGGCCACCGGAGTCTTAAGCCTGTCTTAAACACACTGGTCTAATCTGGGACCAGATGTCTTGTCTGGTCTCTGTCCACCCTCCGAAAAAACAAAAACAGTCTAGAAACCTCGGCTGTTTCTCTTTTGATTTACTATTAGGATGTTATAGTGTCGGCCATCATAAAAGAGGACATCTGCTAGAAAGTCTACACGAAGCTCTGGATTAAATTAGTGATTTCATGAATGTGGTTTGGTTAGTTTAGTTTCTGAGCCTTTATTTTCATAATTGGATGCTCAGAGAAGTTTTTATTGAGTTATTTTTGCAATAATCTATTGGTGGAGGTTAATACTGCTGTCAAATTGTCTACGTATCAAATAGTTTAGCCTAGTGGCTGTTCTGGAGCTTTCTGTAATATCCATGAGCTTCATCAGCAGATGGAGTTTGCCATGCATGTGATTTTAGATGTTTCCCAGCACTTGAAGAATGTCTTTCCCATGTTTGCTTTAAAACTAAGGTTCAATATTTGTTCTTGACCTTGGAAACCGTAGGTAAGACAAAAAGGTTTCTGAGCAAGGCCGATTTTGTCAGCTGTTCTGAAAAATCTACAGGTTTTTTGCCAATAAATTGGTCCAATTTTTATCATTTGTCAATTTTCTTTTATCACAAAGTCCGCTTTTCTGGTCTTTTCCATCTTATCTCGGGATCTTCATGAGCAGAGGAAGTTTGCTTGGACCAGATCTCTAGATTTCCATTTTGTGCACACTTCCATGTTGATTCTTGAACAGACAATGTCTCTTTATTTTGATGTTGCGGAGCTATTGATCACACGATTGTGTTAAATGTCCATTTCCTTTGTGCTTCCCAAACACGTTGGCTCCTAGGAAGCAGTTCAGAGGTCATTATTGGACAGCATTTGAGGAAACGGTCAAACATCACGGTCCCTTTAGTGACGGCTTTCAATATATCACATGATCTGCCTCTGTCTTTGCACCTCAGCAACTTTGAAAACCATGTTTGTTTGTTTTTTTTATCTTTTATTTGAACCGGGACAGTGCACATTAATGAACATTTTAAACAAAATAATGCTTTCAAATGTAAATGAGATGGATTTTTAGCTTTGAGCTCATTTCCATCCGTAGTCCCGTCGCATACAACATTTATGAACACGTTGACTTTATAGATTAAATGAATGTTGGTAAAGTCTCACCATTGGGTGAGTAACTGCTCTAGTTTTTTTTTTTAGAACATCACATTGAGCTCATGGAGTCTATAATTTCATGGAAAAACTCCCATCTGATAATGAAAGTCATATCAAATACTTGAAAGCACCAGAACAGCTACTAAATTGAGTTTTTTGAGCAGGTTTGTGCAGGTTTTATCTGCAGGAGGTAACATTTGCAGTGTTTAGTCTTTCTACTTCCAAATTGGAGCCTGACTAGACAACATTTGAGTTCAAAGTGTGTGTGTGTGTGTGTGTGTGTGTGTGTGTGTGTGTGTGTGTGTGTGTGTGTGTGTGTGTGTGTGTGTGTGTGTGTGTGTGTGTGTGTGTGTGTGTGTGTGTGTGTGTGTGTGTGTGTG